TGTGTAATTAGAAAATCAATGATCGACTCAGATTTTTTTGATGTTGGGAAACTTGGGTGTACCGTCTCGCAACCATTTCTGTCCATCCATTCTTATATTTCATTTCCGCTAGTATTGTTTTTTTCACAATTCCATTGAATATGTTTAGCATTGTAATCTCCGAAAATGAAGAAATTTTTTCCTATGTACTTCTGAAATATTTCGAAAGGAGCTTTGCTTTTTGGTGGAACATATATTCCTCCTAAATAAATTTTTTCATTCTCAGTTTCAATTTCTAACATTAAAAAGTTTTGAACTTTTTCAATAGTTTTACTAGATATAGATTGATGTATCAGAATTGCTACTCCCCCAAAACTATTTGAACCTTCAACTTTTTCCCAATAGAATGGTGGAATGTTTGGTATATTTCGAATATCTTTTCCGACTCCTGTTAGAATAACAATTTGAGGAAGATGGGATGATACTAGAATCTCTAAATCGCAAAGATGGGTGCTTAAACCCTGACAGTTGTATAAGATAACGGTTAGATTATCATTTTCACTTTTTGGTCTAGTTTTTTTCCAAGAATTACATAAATTACTTATCGATATTTTAGTATTCCATTCCGTGAATATAGAAAGAATGTGGATTTTTTCACTTTCAGTTCCTATATATTGTTCTACTAATTCCATATTTAACATTGACGTTGCATATCTAAATTCTTTAGTATTCATTTTGAGGTTGATGTTGAGTTAATGCATTCATAACATAGTCTAATGTTACTTTTTGTTTATCGACTAGCTGTTGGAGTAATGCTTGATGTGATAAATAGGTCTCTTTTTCATTATTTATTAGTGCTAATTGGTTTTGTGTTGTTTTTATTATTTTTTCTACTTCTATATTATTGTTGTTTCCTGTTTTCATTTTTTCGAAAATTGAACACATTGTGTTCATCATACTTGAGCATGTTGTAAACATTGTTGTACCGATTATATTGTTCATTGCTGTTATCATTTGTACTTGTGTATCAATCTGCTGTTTCATGATAGTGTAACTTTGATTAATTAAAATTAAAATTTCACTATATTTTTGTTGATTTCTTCTTTGTTCTTCAGCATAATTTGTTTTAATTTTTTCTAATTCATCCTTTAATGTTTGAATTGTATCATATATATTTGTATTATTTGTTGACGTTGATGCCGATTGATTTGATACGTTGTGTTGCAATATTGGCCATGTATTATAATCCTCTTTCATAATGTTAAATTGATGTGGATTCTGCTGATACTGTTGATGCTGCATAAATGTTGTTTTATTTTCAATAACTTTGTTATTTTCACCAGATGGTCGGCACTCGAATGGTATGTAGATTTGAGTATTCGCTGGTAGAAGATCGGTACGTTTACGAAGTTCAGTAACTAGATTTTTTCTGTATTCTTTTATAATTGGGCATTTATAATCTGTTGATTGATATGACCGGGTAAATTGCATTTTGTGCATATCAGTAATTTCGGAGCAGGCAGATATTCATCGATATCATATAATTGTCCATAAATTGTAATTTTACCACTATTCAAAATTTCTTTATATTCTTTCTCATCGGATATATCGATACGAATATGACGATTACGTTCATTTGCTGTTCCGATTATTTCTTTCATTGAATAAATTGATTTGTATCTTTCACCCAATTCGCATTTTAATTCATTAAAAGATATTGAGTTTCTTATCCATTTCATTATTATTGATCTTTGAGGTGGTAAATGCTTTGGTGCATGTGGAATAATTTTGATATTATTTAATTCTTTGGGATATCTTTCTTCTTTACATAAATAAACGTATAGATCTATATTTTTTGTTAAAGCTTGTATATTTCCATCTTTGTCAACCCACCATACATCGAAGCCAATTGGTCTTTTATACATAGGATTTTGCTTTGTAAAATCATTGGAAATAAATTTTATGAAATCTTGAATAAATTTAGCACCTATCTTTTATTCATTAATTTTTGGTTCGCATTCAAATTTCAGAGGTTGTAAATGGTTTTCAGCTGCAAATTTAAGAGCTTGTTGAGATATTTTTGTTTGATCATCATTAAATTTGTTGATGTTATTATTGCAATTATTATGATTATGATTATATTTATTATTAGTAGTAGTATTATCTAATAATAAAGATTGATGTTGTTGAAATATTCCTGATCTACTAGTTTGTGTTCGATTTGAATTTTTGTTATTATTTTCAGTTAATGAATTGGAATCAAATATTGTTCTTGTTGTATATTTTTCTTCTTTGTCTTTTAGTTTCTTTTTAACTCTGTGATGCATACCTTGTTGATATTCCATATTATCATCATCATCGATTCTATCTGATAATGTTTGTTCTTCGAATTGGCTATGATTTGTATTATGCCGTTTTAATGATGTTGATCTTTCTTTTTTTTGTTGCAGATGAGATTGTTGAATTTGTTCTTGTAAATCAGTACCATCACATAATCTATTCTTCTGTGCTGCATTCATATTCTTGTAATTTTCATTAGTCATATCCAGTGTTCAACTTGAACTTTTAATTTTTAATCTTTTAATTAAGGTTTGTAATTTATTTATTTATTTATTTTAATGATAAATAAATATTCAAGTACAACCTAGTCACGTTTTAATACACGTGCACGTATACGTTTAGTATATGCTTATACAGAAAAGAAGAACGAGAACACGTCCTATTCGTACAGTGTAAAAAGGTGAAGTGATCATTTCAATTTTCCTCGGCTGCATACGCTCCATTCAACAGAGCTTACTATATCAATGCTTCTGGTGTCTATTATACCATTTGATCACGAAAATGGCCTTGCCTACATTTCAGCTCTTATTCAATAAAATAGCTCGAAACTAATATTGTACTGTCTATCTATGATGCTCTATTTACGCTGCTAAAATCAGGTTTTTATCTCTTGTCATTTAGTAATGGTTTAGAAAATAAACTAGTTTTTGCGCCTATTTCACGTGTTTTCAAGATCGCTCCTAACATTTCTCTTTTCTACTTTTCTTTACTTTGCTTCAAACTAAAAAAGTGAACGATGTTTAACAAGCTTTATTACATAATTTTTGAATGCTCGATCTATTCATAAGCTGATTTTTACTTTATCTATCGCCGTATGAAATAAATTTGACATTCTGCCATTGGTTCCAGAAAAACAAAAAAAGTGTCCCACAACTGTTGAGTCCAATATGAAGCCAAAATACAATTAAAGTCATCTCTTTTTCTATAAAAACATTTATTCATTTGGTCATATTCGATCGCTGAAAGCCACAAGTTACTATCTTTTCTCATTTTCAAAAAAATTAGATCTTGTCGGTGTCAATTGATGTACGACATATAACTTCTTTCACTTCTCTTGCCTGTCACCTCACCAAACTATAAGGAGTTAAGCGCTGATTTTTTCGTCATAAATGACAATTGGTGTTCGTGGCTTATGTTGCAAATATCAAGCTTCTAACTCATTCGTGAAGAAAAAAAGATGTACAAATACAAATACAGTCAAATTTCCTATTCCTCTATAATATTCCACCCAGCTGCCAATCGCTTGACAGAACTAAAAGGAGTTGAGAGTTCATTTTTTCAGCGAAAGTGACAATTCGTCTTACTCAATTATGTTGAAAATATCTTGATACTAACTCATTCCTAATGGAGAAAAACCTTGAAAGACTGTCACGTTACCAGTCCCTCTATTATATTCCCACCCAGATGTCTCTCGCCTTACCGAACTACAAGAAGTTGAGAGTTGATTTTTTTGCCAAAAATGTCATTTCGTCGAGGACGCTTATGTTGTAAATATCACTGCACTAACTCATTCTTGAAGAAGAAAAACCTTGCAAGACTTCGACATTACCTGTACCTCTATTATATTCTCACTCAGATGCATATCGCTTGACTGAACTATAAAGAGTTGAGAGCTGATTTTTTCGCCAAAAGCTGCAATTGGTCTTGGCTACTTACGTTGTAAATATCAAGCTTCTATTCGAATTTTTCTAGATCTCGCATACATACACAATAACATATGTGTCGTTCCCCAATGGTGAAGGTGTCGCGGAAATCTTTATGACACGTACATTATGACATATCTCTCTGCTGTGGGTGCTCGGAAATCGTAATTCCGCATGAAAAACTGATTCCTTGGTGGATGAAGTTGATAGAATTTGAATGAGAAGCTTTGAATTTGCCTTTTATCTTGAGAGTGTAATGCTTATCGCTCCTTTGGAGAATGATCATGATGATTCTTTCTTTATCGGTTTATTGTGTTCATATTCAAAATGAACTTATTGAAATGAATAATAGGCGTTCCATTAATAGGTCAAATTTGATTTATATGTAAACTATCGTATATTTTATTCGTTGAGAGATCTAGTATAATTGTATCCTAGCTATCAATAACATTCTTTATAATATTGAAGAGATTCAAGCTGAACAATTTACGTTTTCATGTTAGTGACACTTTATTCGTTTTTTCGCAATAACTTGGTGTTATCTATTATATCGCTCATCCTTTGTTTGAAATATTTCGCAATACCTTTTATATTTGCTATGAATTGAATATGGAAAAAGTCCGATTATCTCTAATTAATATTCTATGCTTGTCAATCTCTATGTAATGCAAACCGAGTAGAGTAGAACACCCATTAAAAACTAACATGGATTTTTATAGTAGTTCTCGTGTTCAGTTTTGTAATTTCATTGATGAACTAATTATTCATAATTTCAATCATCATCGTTGAAATTCATCACATTCTGTGGATCTTTTTACATTATTTATTCCAACAAATAATGATTCATCATTAATATCTGCAATATGTTGATTATCATGGTAAAAATAACATTATTACTACGTCAACATACATTTTGTCTTAAATCTATATAAAATAATTAACAAATTTATGTTAGATCATTACCAATTCAATTAAATAACTGGTTATTATCAAATGATAAGGCAACTACATTAATAAGATGTCAAAATGTTGGTATGATGGAAAAAGGCAGAAAGGAAAAATATCGAAAGGGAAAAATGTCGAAAATAAAAATATCGAAAACAAAAATAATACAAATGTAGATGGATAGAAATGCTGAAAACGAGAGTATATTGAAGTACAAGTCTCCCTCACCCTCAATTCAATTTTACATGCTCATTTTCATCTCATATTCTTGTTTTCGACATTTTTATTTTCGATATTTTTCCCTTTCGACATTTTTCCTTTCTGCCTTTTTCCATCCATTCAAAATGTTCACGTACACCGTCATATTAATTCCTTAACTGGTTTAGAAGAAAATCAATCAATGGAATTATTAATAAATACATTCTGTTATGGGATCCTTTCTCAAAAATGTTATGATGATCATATTCAAAATCATCAAAATGATTTCGACCGAAATATAAAATCTTTATCGAATTGTATCAATTGATCAAGCGACTAGTCGTAGTGTGCAACCCAAATCAATTGAAAAGAAAAGCTTCAGATAGTCCAATATTCAAACCGCGATCATTTGTTACTGAAGTAGCTAAGGAGTACTCAGTTGATAGGTGAGCTGTTGCAGTTGTCAAAGATGTTACTAATTAAATGTGATAGAAAAAGCTGGTGAGGAATGTCGAAATACAAATGATAGCAAGTTGAAAAGACTTGTTCGAATAGGCATAAAAGCTGTACCATATGACAGAACGAGTTGACCATCTAGAGTGTCATATATATACCGTCAGAAATGAAGATGACATACAACATATAAAGAAGGAAATAAGAGACAGATTTGTTCATAATATGCATCTTCAGAGACACTTTCAAATGTTTAAACAGCACCGCAGTAAGTTGAAAATCGCACACTAAACATGATCATAGAACTGATCGATGACAATGTTTTAAGAGTCAATTCAAATGAGGAACGGTAAATATCAATCAAAGATAAATGACGAGGATTTATCAATGTAGTTAAATGTGATGCTAGTTATAAACCTTTATTAATATTTAATCAAGGGGGAAAAAGCGGATCCTGGATTCTGTGGATTCTGTTGGATCCTGTGGATCCTTTTGGATCCTTTGGATCCTTTTAGATTCTACTGAATCCTTTCGGATCCTGTTAGATCCTACTAGGACCTTATAAAAACTTTTTGACATTCTCAGGATCCTATTTATTAGTCAAGACCCTCATTAGTCACTCCAATTAGTTTCTAATGTCACACTGGCTCGTACAGTATGAGCTCTTAACAACTTCTGCTATTATTTTTCTCACTCCCTGGTCGAAAAAGGCGGGCTGGTTCCTGCAGGAAAGCATCGAAAATTGTCGAAAGTAGAAGCAGTATTCCCATTGGAGATTTGCTGGACTTGTTTCAGTGGATTGCAGTCACAACCTTGTGCTTTCCAGCAGGAAACGGTTGGAATTCATCGGAAAAATCCGAAAACTTTCCGATCGGATTTCTGCTTCCAGTTCCGGCGTTTTCCTGCCGGATCCCAAGTTATAGAGATGCCTCAATTCCAATTCCAGTCAATCACAATTCTTGGAATTTGAATTGACCAGGATTGTTCTGAAACTAACAACATCTGGTCTGAAATTGCCTACGATTAGTTGTTAGCCACACCCTTCGGTCCTTATCTCCTATTGTATGAAGGTATCTTTAGGTACTCAAGTCTTGTTATATGGAAGTATCTTGAGATCCTCAAGAATATTGCAAGAAGGTAGCTTCAGATTCTTGTCTCCTACTATATGGAAGTAGCATTAGGCCAGAAGAGGATGTAACCATCTTAAACTTCAATACCAATACTAAGTGGCATCGATGGCATTGAATAGTTACTTTGCACTAGAAAATCAAACTTGAAAATTTCAAAGAACTGATGATAGATTGGGATTTCTCTAACCCGCAATACTTCGATTGTACTTAAAAAAAATCCTTATATTCGAAAAAGGTCCTTTCCTAGATGAAAAAACTCAAAATCGAAAAATTTTGAGAGATTAATTTTCAATTCTTCATTTTTTCGTCAAGGAAAGGCTTTTTATCGAGTATAGGAGCTTTTTAAGGTTTGATGAAAGTCTTGAACGATCTAAGAGTTCCAATCTATCATCGGTTTTAGAAAATTTCAAGTGTGATCGTCCTTTGTACACTACCGATTCAATACCTATAATGCCATTTGGTATCAGCATTGCAAGTATTAGCATGGTTCCATCCCTCACCTGATTTAAGCTTAGCTCCATAGAACAGTTTGAGAATCTAAGGGCACCGACTATATAGCAGGAGATAAGGACAAAAGAGTGTGACTAAGAACGAATCGTAGTCAATTCTATGTCGGATCTTGTCAGTTCCAGATCAATTCTACTCAATACCAATCAATTTCAATTGCAAATTCAGTCAAGTCCAACCAATCCTAAGCATTGGAATTGACCAAAATTGGAATTGGTGCATCTCCACACTAAATATCTAGTTTTTGATGGCATTCACAGTTAAAAGAATTACAAAAGTTAATAAGTAATGTCACGGGATCAA